AGAAATGAGTTAGGGTGGCAAGTATCTAAAAGGAAGGTTGCAAGAGCAAATGGCCAAGAATATAAAACAAAAAAGAATAAAATTGTCCAGGCAAAAATCTTGAAAGAACCATGTAGATGCAAGAAAAAGTGCTATGAAAAATTTAGCCATGAGGAAAGGATAAGTATTTTTAAAGACTTTTATTCTTTGACATATAATGAACAAACTCAGATTTTGTCAAGTTCAGTTAGGGAATTTAAAAAGCGTCGATGCACTAAACTTGAAGAAGACAGCAGAAGATCATTTAGTCATACCTATCTACTGAACAAAGGAGGATTACCTATAGAAGTTTGTAAGGTGATGTTTATGAATACTCTGGATGTAAGTTTTAAAAGAGTAAGATATACGATTGAGAAGTGTAGGCTTTCTATAAGCGGAATATGTGGACCAGACCAAAGAGGGAAGCATGGCAACCACCATAAAATATCAGATGAAGATAAAAGTTTTGTAATCCAACATATCTCTAAATTTCCAGCTTACAAGAGTCATTATTCTCGATCGCATTCAGAGAAACGATACTTATCTCCCGATTTAAGCATTCAACAAATGTATAGGCTTTATATCGAATATTGTAAAGAAGCGGAAAAAACTCCGGTGTCTGACCACTATTACCGAAGTATTTTTGTGTCCAATTTCAACCTTTCGTTTCATCCACCCCATAACGATACCTGCAGCAGGTGCGATAAGTTAAACATCTTAATAAAATCTTCCGCTGATGAAGGACAAAAAATAGACTACGAACGAGAAAAAAAAGAACATTTAGATGCAGCAGAGAAGGCGTACAATGCAAAAAGGATTGACAAAGAAAAAAGTAAACAAGATGAAACTATAGTAACGGCAATGTTCGACTTACAAAAATGTTTACCGACTCCCCACCTAAAAAGTGGAATTGCCTTTTATAAAAGGCAGTTGTGGGTTTTCAACCTAACAATATACGAGGTTACAAAATCCAACGGAAATAGATCTTTTTGTTTCATGTGGGACGAAACCACTTCAAACCGTGGAGGACAGGAAATTGCATCCTGTCTCCTTAAGTACATAAGAAACTTGCCCCCAGAGGCAACCTGTCTAAATTTATATAGTGATTGCTGCTCAGGGCAAAATAAAAACATTCATGTTGTTACTCTACTGTCCAAGGTGTTTCAACTTTTGCCACCAAACCACATGCTAAAAGAAGTCCACCACAAATTCCTAATCTCCGGTCATACTCACTTGGAAGCAGACTCGATTCATGCTTCAATAGAAAAAGCTAAAAAGCACACAACAATGGATATAGAAATACCCAGAGACTGGTCCACTCTGGTTCGCAGCATTCAGCGAAAAGGAGGAATTAAAGTCATTGACATGTCTCAGGATGATTTTTACAATATAAGCGCTCTTCAGAAAGCGTATTTTGTGAATAGAAAGAAAAACGCTGACGGAGAGCAAATGTCTTTTTTGAAAGCAAACTATTTCCTCTACACGAAGGAAAACCCTGGAAAAATTTTCTACAAGGAAGGCTTATTGGCAAAAGAAGATTTCAAAGTCTGGGATATAACAAAGAAGAAAAAAGGACAGCCAGATGAGACACAACTCGTTTTGGAAAGGCTACATAATTCGTACCCGTTGCCTCTTCCAAAAAAAAAATTGGACGACATTAATACGTTAATACAATATATACACCCAAATTGTCGGCTTTTTTATGCTAATCTCAAATCAGAAGAAACAGCTGCCGATGAAGATGTATGTCCGACAGCTATTTTACAATATGATGAATAAGCCTTTTTTCATTTTTTTGCCATTGTAAAAAAAAGTAAAGTTTTAGTTTATGTTAATATCTAGAAAACAGTTCTTGAGATTATTACTTTTATAAAATATATGACATTGCCAACTGTGTTTTATTGTTATTGACGCTAAAATAAATCATAATGGGGAAAACGTTTTATAGTCAAAAAAGGCCTAAGTTATACTCTTTCCTACAATGGGGCTTATATACCATTTTCTTGGGCCTACGTGCATATTAGATATAGGGTCTATGTGAGTTAGGCCGAAATTGTATGGGCCTAACAAACAAAAATATGTGAATAAATGAATACTTCTACGAATTTTCAATATATTTTGGATCATAGCACATCCAGTTACATGCTACCCAAATTCCATTCAATTCGGATAAAGGATTTTTGCGTAAGAAATAATTTTGTTCCAATTCACAAATCCTAAATTATCTCCAAACTTGATTTTCGTAGATTGGCCCTTGTTTATCCAAGCCACAGAACTGAGCTGTTGCGAAGTAACATCCACTTGAAATTTATCCTTTGTTCATCTATATCAACTTGACAGTCCAGCCTCATGTTCTTGGCAAGTTTTTGGAAAAAATGTATTATATAGACACCGCAGTTAAAACCATCTTTTTGTATAACGTGGTCTGGTATTTTAAAATTGAACTTGGTTATGCTTATGTTTTTATACCTCAAAAATGTTGACAGTCTTTCACAATAAGTATTTTTGAAGAGTAACTCATTACCCATGGGATCAAGAAATGTCACTAAATTTTCCGTGATAGAGAAAATCAGTAATGTGTAATGATTATTTTGGAGAACTGGCATAACTATCAAATCTTTGGTGAACGTAATGCTTTCAACGAAGGAAATGGGATAATTGTTGTCAGAAAATATTATCGATGATTTCGAAACTGAAACGATTTGGAATTTGTTGCCGCTGGATCTATTGATTGTGTGCAGGCAGTGATCTACGACGAAATTACTTAGATACTGCCTATCATCCAGTGTAGCAAAATCGTCCTGAAGCAGCTCTTTAATTGAAAAGTACAGATCTCTGTTTAATAATACTACGTAACCCCTTTTATCCGGCAACTGTCGGTAGAAATAAATGTTTTCTACCAAACCGTTATCCATAACTTTTATTGGTTCGGCAGTTGTCCACTTCCTTTGTGACTTGGATAGGTTTGAAAAATTTAGAACAGAAGGTAATAGATGGAACAAGTAAAACGTTCTCAATTTTTTAAGCATTATCGTCCAAAACTTTTTATTCCTGGTCACTCGCAGGACTTTGGCACCTTTGAACGTATAAATGACTAAATCGCACCAAGACCGATCAGTTATTTCAAGTAAACCCTGTATTTGGTAATGGTAATTATGTATCCCTCGAATAGATTCTCCATTCTTATTCAGAAAGTCGAAATCATATTTTTGGGGATTGTAATTTCGAGCATTGTACGGGCATTTTACCTCTACAATACCGTCTTCTCCTACAAGCCCATCTGGTGAAGCAGCAAGATAAGGGTACTCACGGTGTATCATCAAGCCAGCCGTAGAACAGCGAACGTTCATTTGTTTTTCGTACAGTTGTATGGCGTCTTTCTCATATTTGAGGCCGTGAGTAGTAGCTGGAGTTCTTATACTGTTTCCACCTCTAATCGCAGCTACTATGTTAGCGTACGAGTTTTCATCCCTTACCTTGCAAATTCTTCCGAAATACGACGAGGTAACTCTGATCTGTCTTTCTTCCTGCCATCTTATACTGTTACTTTGAAGGCGTGTATCGCGTTCTATCATAGAAATCCGTTCTGGGGATAACTTTATGGACTCTAAGTGTTCCTCACAGCTCTGATAGATATCACTCGAATTGGATATTTGAGGAAGCTCTGATGTGCATATCTTGCATGTGAAATTGAATGTTTCCATATCGACTTTGTTTTCCAATTTCAAACAATATTCATGTACCCATTTCTTAAATGCAAAGCACTGGACCCAATTAGTGACAACGTCCGTAGTACCATGGCCACAATAAATGCATTGAGTGAAATCGCAATCGTCCTCGGAAAAAACGCAGTCCTGAATGGCGATTTTATTATCTTTGTCGGGATCTACAACAGCTGATTTTAAATATGTACCACTAAAGTGAGATGTGTGATTTCTTTTCCGTCTATTCCAGGTCTCCTGTGAAAGTTTTTCGTTTGAGTTATCTTTGCTTCTCGCAAGGCGTGATTTAGATACTTGAAGGTTACTCTCCTTGCTCAAAGACAGCATATCTCTTCTCAGTATCCTGACAAATTCTGAACATTTCAGATTGCGCCTTCCATTGAGAGAGTTTTGTTTCAACTGTCCGAAATAATTTTCGACATAAGCGTTGCTTAACAGAGGGCCACTTTCTATCATCAATTTCGACCAAAGCGGACAATATGGCATGTATTTTTTTGCAATAAGTTGTAGCATATCTTCATTGAAGTATTCACTTTTGTTATCCCTCGGAGCAAACGTAATTGAGATTTTTTGAGTTAAAAATAAATATCGCTTATAAAAAGGACTTGAAGTATAAATTGCTTCATCAGATATTTGGTGGTCGATTTCAATAGCATTTTCAATGTAAATGAATTCATTGATACTTTCAGGCTGGAATTCATCTGCTGCCTTTTTGAAAAATAGTTTCGATCGTTCAACTAAATGACTATTGTATTGGGAGTTCAAGATAATATAGGTATTATAAACGAAATCATCAAAATCGTTGATGTTATGAATGGATAAGCCAGCTGCCAGCATATCTTTGAAATATCGACGCTGTGTGTCATTTTTCGCTATGCGGTCAACATCATGACATATCATTTTTATAAAATGAGCACAGCACAAGTATATTTTAATGACACTATTATCTGTCGATTTTCCTTCTATGGCTTTATCGTAACATAACTGAATATATTCCGATATAGTACGTCTGTTAAAGGCTTTGCAAATAGCATGCACATTTGCAAATGAAAAGTCGGTGACGACACCCGATAACGCTGGCCAAGCATTTTGCTCTTCGCAAAAGTATCTAAAATCATGCAACATTTTGAAAATAGTGTTGGAATCGTGATTGGCTGAAACCATCGAGAATATGGGAAAAATTCGTTTGGACGGTCTTATAGGAATAACTGCAGTATATAAATATATTCTTTTCTTAATAAGTGGAAACGGATTTCTTACAACTCCTCCAGTTGCATCAAAATATATAATAGGAAGGACATCACCGCATTTTTCAGATTTCATAACGTTTATTTGTTCTATACTATATAGTTTGATATTAAAAGGAATTGATATTTCTTTAATATATTCTGGATGATCCTTCAGCATCATCATTATGTCTGTCATATCGTCCTTTGACCTGTCTAACTGTCTGGAAGTTTCTGATTTTAACTTCCTTAGAGTGCTGTCGGATTTTACATTTAGCAAATTTTTGCTTGTTTTGGCAAACTCTGGTTTCATTTCTAAAAGTGAATCTTTCTTATACTGAAAAGCTTTCTTGTTGAGCAGCTTCTGCTTCACCAACTTCCTCTCTACTCCTCTCACGTGTGATGTCAAGTAGTCGGAATGACAATAATTCACAGAGGAGCTGAAAACGAACACCCATTGTTTTTTTAAATAAATTTTAATTTTTTTGCATTTTTCGTTGTTATGTTTGCATACGGCATATATAACGGTCGTGTCGTCTTTTTTGAGATACCTGTTGTACTTAAAATTTAATAAGCAGGTGTTATTCGCATGCTTTATTATGCAACGTTTCAAATAGTACGGATAATATTTTGGATTCAACTTCTTTTTTCTATAAATAATATTCCAAAACTTTTGTTCAATGGTAAACATGCCTTCCAGCCACGTGCAATCCTTGAAACCCCTGACTTCAAACGTTGCCGTATCATTGACTGAGTTAGAGGGAAGAATATTATCAGATGATGTTGTTTGTTCAGAAAATGCACTCATGATTGTTGTACAATCTGGCGATTCATCCATCATTTCAGGAGTAACATCAAGCAATGGTTTCTTGATATACACGGTATGATTCAAACAGTCTTCTTTTGCCAAAGCGTCTTCGAAAAATGAGTCATCAGTTGCATGCGGTAATGAATTATTTGAACTAGTCGCCCTTACAGCATTTTCATGAGATCTTTCGGCTCGCTGATCCAACGTTAAGATCGTTCCTGTTGCGCTCACTTCCTCTTCCTGGTGTATTATTTCTATCAAATTCATCTCCGTGACAGAGGCATCCTGATTTTTGATTTCGGTTTCCTCATTGCAAGAACCGCAATTGCCTCTAATAATTTTTCTCCAAATATCATATATTCTTCTACGATTTTTTAAAGAATTCTCAATACAAAGCTTATCACAAATCATTTCATACACAGAACATGGATTTCTGTAAGCAGTGCATACATCACTCATATTTAGATTTAAATCAATCAGAGCACGACTCATTTCTATACTATTTATAATAGTCGATGTACATGAGGAAGTGCATAAGAATTTTTTTAGGTAATTTTTAAAATCAGAGGTATCGATTATTTTCGATACCATGCTGGTACATCCGTACTTTGTACCTTTCAATGCCAAAGCCAACCGACCATAAGTCGATATATCAATAGGTGATCCAATATTTAGTTCAGGCTGAATTTTTCTCAGCTCAGAACACATAATTCTAAAGGCCTTTGTTCGGGATATAAAGTTTTTCTTCGCCATGGCTGATGTTATCGAGTACACACAACACGAAAGTGGTATATGTATGTATAAGCACTTCAATATTGCCTTAAATGTAAATTCTTAAAGGATAGAATTGATTGATCAATATCAAAACTAAAAAATTTTAAAATACAGAAGGCAAACGAAATCTAGAGAAATATTTACAAGAAAATCTCATAAAAATCTAAGTAATAGAAAATGAAAATATACCAAGAATATTGGAATATTCCCTATTAGTGCTAAAAGCTGATCAAAATCTCGGTATTGTAGCCGCAGACCAAGAGTAGTGTATAAACCATTTAACGCTGGCTACATATACTCGATCAGGTACCTTAACTTGCGAGGAGAGAAAGCCGAGTCCGTTTCGGTACTCTCCTATGCGGGTGCCATGCGCTTGATATCCCCTAGACCCTAGACAGAGGCTACAATGACCGAGCTCGTAGAATCACCCGCCGCCGTACTTTCATCACTCGCAAGTTAGGGTACCTATCAACATCATCTGATAATATTCTTCCCTCTAACTCAGTCAATGATACGGCAACGTTTGAAGTCAGGGGTTTCAAGGATTGCACGTGGCTGGAAGGCATGTTTACCATTGAACAAAAGTTTTGGAATATTATTTATAGAAAAAAGAAGTTGAATCCAAAATATTATCCGTACTATTTGAAACGTTGCATAATAAAGCATGCGAATAACACCTGCTTATTAAATTTTAAGTACAACAGGTATCTCAAAAAAGACGACACGACCGTTATATATGCCGTATGCAAACATAACAACGAAAAATGCAAAAAAATTAAAATTTATTTAAAAAAACAATGGGTGTTCGTTTTCAGCTCCTCTGTGAATTATTGTCATTCCGACTACTTGACATCACACGTGAGAGGAGTAGAGAGGAAGTTGGTGAAGCAGAAGCTGCTCAACAAGAAAGCTTTTCAGTATAAGAAAGATTCACTTTTAGAAATGAAACCAGAGTTTGCCAAAACAAGCAAAAATTTGCTAAATGTAAAATCCGACAGCACTCTAAGGAAGTTAAAATCAGAAACTTCCAGACAGTTAGACAGGTCAAAGGACGATATGACAGACATAATGATGATGCTGAAGGATCATCCAGAATATATTAAAGAAATATCAATTCCTTTTAATATCAAACTATATAGTATAGAACAAATAAACGTTATGAAATCTGAAAAATGCGGTGATGTCCTTCCTATTATATATTTTGATGCAACTGGAGGAGTTGTAAGAAATCCGTTTCCACTTATTAAGAAAAGAATATATTTATATACTGCAGTTATTCCTATAAGACCGTCCAAACGAATTTTTCCCATATTCTCGATGGTTTCAGCCAATCACGATTCCAACACTATTTTCAAAATGTTGCATGATTTTAGATACTTTTGCGAAGAGCAAAATGCTTGGCCAGCGTTATCGGGTGTCGTCACCGACTTTTCATTTGCAAATGTGCATGCTATTTGCAAAGCCTTTAACAGACGTACTATATCGGAATATATTCAGTTATGTTACGATAAAGCCATAGAAGGAAAATCGACAGATAATAGTGTCATTAAAATATACTTGTGCTGTGCTCATTTTATAAAAATGATATGTCATGATGTTGACCGCATAGCGAAAAATGACACACAGCGTCGATATTTCAAAGATATGCTGGCAGCTGGCTTATCCATTCATAACATCAACGATTTTGATGATTTCGTTTATAATACCTATATTATCTTGAACTCCCAATACAATAGTCATTTAGTTGAACGATCGAAACTATTTTTCAAAAAGGCAGCAGATGAATTCCAGCCTGAAAGTATCAATGAATTCATTTACATTGAAAATGCTATTGAAATCGACCACCAAATATCTGATGAAGCAATTTATACTTCAAGTCCTTTTTATAAGCGATATTTATTTTTAACTCAAAAAATCTCAATTACGTTTGCTCCGAGGGATAACAAAAGTGAATACTTCAATGAAGATATGCTACAACTTATTGCAAAAAAATACATGCCATATTGTCCGCTTTGGTCGAAATTGATGATAGAAAGTGGCCCTCTGTTAAGCAACGCTTATGTCGAAAATTATTTCGGACAGTTGAAACAAAACTCTCTCAATGGAAGGCGCAATCTGAAATGTTCAGAATTTGTCAGGATACTGAGAAGAGATATGCTGTCTTTGAGCAAGGAGAGTAACCTTCAAGTATCTAAATCACGCCTTGCGAGAAGCAAAGATAACTCAAACGAAAAACTTTCACAGGAGACCTGGAATAGACGGAAAAGAAATCACACATCTCACTTTAGTGGTACATATTTAAAATCAGCTGTTGTAGATCCCGACAAAGATAATAAAATCGCCATTCAGGACTGCGTTTTTTCCGAGGACGATTGCGATTTCACTCAATGCATTTATTGTGGCCATGGTACTACGGACGTTGTCACTAATTGGGTCCAGTGCTTTGCATTTAAGAAATGGGTACATGAATATTGTTTGAAATTGGAAAACAAAGTCGATATGGAAACATTCAATTTCACATGCAAGATATGCACATCAGAGCTTCCTCAAATATCCAATTCGAGTGATATCTATCAGAGCTGTGAGGAACACTTAGAGTCCATAAAGTTATCCCCAGAACGGATTTCTATGATAGAACGCGATACACGCCTTCAAAGTAACAGTATAAGATGGCAGGAAGAAAGACAGATCAGAGTTACCTCGTCGTATTTCGGAAGAATTTGCAAGGTAAGGGATGAAAACTCGTACGCTAACATAGTAGCTGCGATTAGAGGTGGAAACAGTATAAGAACTCCAGCTACTACTCACGGCCTCAAATATGAGAAAGACGCCATACAACTGTACGAAAAACAAATGAACGTTCGCTGTTCTACGGCTGGCTTGATGATACACCGTGAGTACCCTTATCTTGCTGCTTCACCAGATGGGCTTGTAGGAGAAGACGGTATTGTAGAGGTAAAATGCCCGTACAATGCTCGAAATTACAATCCCCAAAAATATGATTTCGACTTTCTGAATAAGAATGGAGAATCTATTCGAGGGATACATAATTACCATTACCAAATACAGGGTTTACTTGAAATAACTGATCGGTCTTGGTGCGATTTAGTCATTTATACGTTCAAAGGTGCCAAAGTCCTGCGAGTGACCAGGAATAAAAAGTTTTGGACGATAATGCTTAAAAAATTGAGAACGTTTTACTTGTTCCATCTATTACCTTCTGTTCTAAATTTTTCAAACCTATCCAAGTCACAAAGGAAGTGGACAACTGCCGAACCAATAAAAGTTATGGATAACGGTTTGGTAGAAAACATTTATTTCTACCGACAGTTGCCGGATAAAAGGGGTTACGTAGTATTATTAAACAGAGATCTGTACTTTTCAATTAAAGAGCTGCTTCAGGACGATTTTGCTACACTGGATGATAGGCAGTATCTAAGTAATTTCGTCGTAGATCACTGCCTGCACACAAACAATAGATCCAGCGGCAACAAATTCCAAATCGTTTCAGTTTCGAAATCATCGATAATATTTTCTGACAACAATTATCCCATTTCCTTCGTTGAAAGCATTACGTTCACCAAAGATTTGATAGTTATGCCAGTTCTCCAAAATAATCATTACACATTACTGATTTTCTCTATCACGGAAAATTTAGTGACATTTCTTGATCCCATGGGTAATGAGTTACTCTTCAAAAATACTTATTGTGAAAGACTGTCAACATTTTTGA